TATAATCATAACTGATCCAGATGCAGAAATTGGGAACGAATTTGAAGAATATGAAAATTTTTATAATTTCATTCAGTTAGGTAATATCAATTGTTTAGAAGTAATATTGCTGAATAATTTTTGGTCGTTTTCATCTTTTATTCTACTGAATCCTATTAGAATTTTTGTTCGAAAAAGTGATCTGCTTAATTTTCTTGTTTAAAATTATGCCTTTATAGGAAATGTTGATTTAGTGAAATATAAATGAACACACTAAATACACATCACTCCAATTGGCTGTTATTCATGATATTTTTCTATAGATAAATTGAGAAGGCTTTTTCATGAAAATTTTATTAATTTTCGTAGATAACACGCCAAAAGTTAAAATTGTATTATTCGTAAATTGTATGACTGCTAAAGCAATCGTTTTTTCGGGAAACCCCCCGTGAATAATGACTTTATGATTATGTTATTTTGAAGGTACATTTTAGGTACAATTATTATCAGCCATAAAAATTCAAAAAATATCTTTGAGTTTTATTTTGGCTAGTTGACCGGCAAATTGAAGTGCCCCGAAATTTGAACCTCAAATATTATCCAAACGAGTAAGGTACAATTAAGTACATTTTTGGAACAATTATTTAAACCTAGTCCCAAGTTTCGACTTTCACACGTGCGGACATTCGACTATACATCCCATTTTTTATCGTATGCACTTTTTCCCGCTAAAATAACGGATCTTTTAACTGCGGATGAATTAAATGAATCATAAATAAAATAATTAAAAGGCGTTTTATCAACGGTAGATTTTATTTTTGGAACATTTCGTTCAATTTGACGACTCTCACACTTGATTATTGTTTATTATCTCTACATAAAAGCACATACATGTATTTGTTTTATAATCACACTTGTGCTGAAAATTGCTTTTAAAAAATAGTTCAATCATTCCGTGCCAATGAATGTTAGTATAGATTTTCGATTTAACGTGTTTATGTTTTCAATCTTTCATCATGTGCGTTTGGCGCTGAAAATTGCCGTGATTTTGTTGCACACTATATCTCGCTACATGAATTGTATAGAATGTTGTATGAAAAATATAGAGCAAACACCTGGCCAATTCACAAGAAAATTAATTGAAAATACGGCGGCAATTGATGTGTTTTGCTTTTAATAAATGAATGACGATTGACTACTTTGCAGCGAAATTACATTTTCTTTCAATCAATTTTCATGCAAACACCATTCATTTGGTGGCAAGCATTTCATTCGTTCACAGTTGGATTCCATTACATTCTTGATGATTCCGAAATGTTGACGAATGAATGACAAAAACTAAATGGAACACTTGATATCAACATTTTAATTGAATCAGGCGGATTAAAAATGATAACATGAAACATAATTAAGCGTTCCACAGCTTTTAGCATTAAGTTTAAGAATACTCGCTTGTGCTAATTAGTAACAGCAGAATAAACAAATTGACACTGACATAGATGATGGTTATTTCAGAGCATAAAACCGTTGAGCAAAAATTGAGCACACACAGCGGCAATAAGATGCTTTGACAGAAGAGATGATGAACAAAAAAGAATTATGTCAAAACATTATCGTTTCTTATCACACATTGATCTTGATGTTCGTCGAATTACGTGTGTCGTTGCTTTTTTTCCTTTTTGTATTCTTTGTTGTCAACATAAAATTCCATTACGTTTCAGCAAAAAAGGCGAAAATTTTTATAGCACACATCGCAGAATATGTGTCTTTTTTTACACGCTCGAAATAAAATTAGAAACTCATTGAGGACAGAGAAGAAAAATCCATTTTCGATATGGTTGAGAAAGTTTAGATTTAGATAAAAAAAAAAAAGAGGAAAGAACGAATGCACGGAGACGGGGTCACGTGTTGAAGTCAACCGATTAAGTTCACGAAATAAATGGGAAAAAGTGTCGGAAAATGACTGACACAAAGTGGTAACATCTCATGTAAGTTTTCCGGAAAGTGTCTTGACATAAACATTGAAATTCAGGCTAAACATTTCATACTACATCATAAATACACCACAAGGTATTACATACCATATTTTCATGCAGCATTTTCTATCTCTCTGTTTGAATATAATAAATTGAAATGTGAAATCTGTGAAATATTAAATAGGTTAAAAATTGTTTCAATTTATTTTATCATGCCCGATGAGTGCCTTCATGTTACAGAACAAAATGCTTTCGCAAACAAGTATGATATGGGCTTTTATTGGTGGCATATCGAGTTGGACGCTTGCTTTCTTTTTTGCTATGTCATTTTGTTCAAACAATACCCAAAAGTGATTGCTACACAGTTTACAGTCGTCAAGTCAGATTTTCTTCGCTCTAAATTTTCAATGGGATTCTTTTGGTTGTTGCTATTTTCGGGTGTTGAAAAGCTTTGATACAGCATACTCATGTTGCGATTGCAAATGCATTGGAGTATAAGTGCATGATGAGTTTTCAAATTTTAAATCATTTCTCTAATGTTGGTTGCTCGCACCACGTGTAAATTTCGGCTGTAGAAGAAAACTCACATGAAGAGCTTGTTGTTAAGCTGGCAATGCAGTCTCCAGACTTAAAGCTTCCATCCGAAAATTTTCTATGAATTATTAATTTTCATTTCAATTATTCAAATGGCACTTGTCAAGTGCGTTGAACGTTGAACCCCACTGAGCATTAAATTTATGGTAGTTTATTCTATTTGGTGTTTGCGACACCACCGCAGAGAGTGTGTGCATAATAACACAATCGCATACATCTCATTCACTATGAAAAGACAACAAAATAAAATACAAAAAAAAAGGCCAGCTGCTATCGCATGGCATAGGAAATCGCTTCAATTTTCGTTTGTTGGATGGAAAAACAACAGTACAACGCATGGAAAACAGTGTGAAGACAAAATGAGAGCAGCGATTAGATGGTGATATTCAACGGAATGATGTTTGTGGTTGGTAAATACCATTAACAATGCGAACGCTACAACATCATTATTTAAAGCAAGTTTCGTTGAGGCAAACATGTATATTCGAAATGCTCTCTGCACGCATTGCGATCAACCAAATGTCCACATTTTTTTTTGTTCTATTGTGCCGTTCAAATTTTGCACAATGTTTTTTTTTTCGGTTAAGCCACAACGAATATAAACAACGAAATACGAAAATCAACACAGCACAACACCAACCGACCAAATTGCAATTTTAAATTTAATAATGTATCTGGTACACGCGAACTATAAAAAGTGAATTTTGTCGAAATCGGACCGAACCAATCCACTAACCCACCACAACAATGAAATATGCAATGCACATTAAAATGTTGGACGAAACATTGTATGGTCCACCACTATATTGATAAAATAATCAATTTGAAGATTTATTAGAATTCCAGATGGAAATCATATTGAGTGGAAATCGATCGCCTGTATTTTATATGCTGAAATCAAAATTTAATTTAAAATATATTCGACAGCCAAACAACATTGTATAGCAAAATCGCAATTTATTTTCGAAATGGAAATGTTCATACGAAATTTTTGATTGAAGATTTGATTTAACGAATTAGGTATGCAGCAACAAATTTGCGATTAAAATGAAATTTACGTCACTGATTTACATTGTTAAATCTAAATGGCGCACTCACTTTTCAAAGTATATTCATCAGTAAAGATTTGCACAAAGTATATGACAGTTGAACAGCAAAAATGTCGAGCATGAATTCATCTGTATTCATATAAGTTTAAGATTCCGATTCGGCGAATGCGCAAAATACATTTCAAAATTCAAAAGAACGATGCGACACACAAAAGTCAACGAATTTTCTATAGACAACTGTTACTTTGAAAAGATATTATGAATGGCAACGAAATAAAAAAAGAAGTACACGCCATTATACAATAGCACGTTATCAATTCAGCCGTTTTTAGTATTAATTAAAAAAAGCGACAGACATTTTTGGGGTAATTTAAAGAAAACATCGCCCGCTTTTAAGCCAACAGTATTCAATTTTGTACGAGGGGTCAACTTAAATGATATTTTATATTCTCTTTTGGGGAAAAATGATATTAACGACTGAAACTTGTTTGATCCTTTTGAATATAGGCGAACCAAAAATCTTCAACGAATAAATTTAGATCATTTTTGAATATCTGTGAATCTGCTCAAGACGTCATAGGATTGAATGAATCTTGTAAAAAATCATTTGATTCCTTTTTGTAATTTGAATAAGTCTTGTGACTAACCCCCAGAATGTGCCTTCAGCATTTATCATATTCAAGGCTTTTTTTTGGTATACAGTGTCACTTGAATCGGATTGAGAGGCATTGGAATTAAACTGTTTTGAAGAAAGTTGTGAAAACAAAATGAAAAGTAATATGATGCGGTGAAAACTGGAGTAAAGGCCAAGAAGTAGCAGCAGTAACAAAAATATTGAAAAATTCTAAAAGAGGACACTGACTGAAATAGAGCAAATGAAAAATATAGTTTACGGATTTGCTGTGTTACATCACATACACACACGAAAAAAAAACTGATGGTAGTCGTTTCACGTTTTTCGATAAACCATAAAATTGTTTGAAATAATTTCTGGAGTTTTTAACTTCCATATAAAGACATTGGTTTTACTTGATAAAGGAAAAACATATTATTGCTTATGTAATGTAATAACATTCGTTCAGCAGAAGAGAAAAACACGCACCATGTGGTTCCAGATAGAGCCTGTCAAAGAATGACACGCTTTTTCTCTTATCTTTGTTTTTTTGTTTCATTTCGAATGCCATCCATGCCATTGTGATGAGCTATTTTTAATTTATATACATTTGATTGAATGCATGAAATGAAAATGAAAACAAAAAAAAAAATCCAATTGAAAATTTCAACTGAATGAGGTGATGGAATGCGTTAATTTGCTCAGATTCTGAGCCTCAAAACATTTTTCACATTTTTAAAGCAAAATATTATAAAATTTTATCTCCTTTTTTTATTCGTTCCAACACAGATAATGAAACAACACCAGAAAAAGATCCATTGTTTCCAAAGGATTTATTCACTTTGGAAGAGCGTCGCAATGGTGCTATTATTTTACACATAATTGGGGTGATGTATATGTTTGTCGCTTTAGCTATAGTTTGCGATGAATTTTTTGTGCCTTCATTGGATGTAATAATCGAAAAGCTGGACATCACCGATGATGTTGCCGGAGCGACTTTTATGGCCGGTAAATGAGTACTTTTTAATTGCAGAGACCTTATTTCGCGAAAAAAAATGTTGCTAAATTCCACAAAAAAATATATATTGTTTTTTTTTTTTACCTCATGGCAGCTGGCGGAAGTGCACCCGAATTGTTTACATCTGTGATTGGTGTATTTGTGTCATTTGATGATGTTGGCATTGGTACAATTGTTGGTTCGGCCGTGTTTAACATTTTATTCGTTATCGGAATGTGTGCAATATTCTCAAAAACACTATTGTCACTCACATGGTGGCCACTGTTTCGCGATTGTACATTTTACAGTGTCAGTTTGTTAACGTTGATCTATTTTTTTCGTGATAATAAGATTTACTGGTGGGAGGCGTTGATATTGTTTTCGATCTATGTATTGTATGCGGTGTTCATGAAATGGAATCATCAGGTGGAGTGCCTAGTGAAAAAATTGCTGTATAAAAATAAGGTGACCAGAGTACGAAGCACAGATCAACTAATGCCTGATAATAAGTCAGTAAGTAGTGGAACCATGCATGTGGTGCAGCTGTTTGTCTTTATTTTTTTTTTATTATTTTTTTCGGCATTTCTTTCAACCGAATCGAACAAAAAAAAATCTTTTTCTCTCCATCTCACCTGCTCAAAAGCTCCCCATTTCCGCTGAATCCCATAAAAAAAAAACAAAAATTGATTTTTTTTTTACCTCCCGTTTCGACTATACATTTTATAATTTCACGTTTAATTGGCAACATACATTGAGAAAGAAATTAACAAAAATCCCCCTAAGTTTAGCATAGAAAATGAATTAGATAAAGCACAAAAAACACATTTGAAGCAAAAACCAAATCCTTATTTCGAATATCCACAAATTATTTTGAGTCCAGATTTTTTTTTATGCACAATTCCGTAATTTCCCGATTCCCAAACTCACTTGCTAAATATGCATAATTTTTGTTCTTTTTGTAATTCTGTATATGTTCTACATTCACATATAAAATTCTATTTGTATAATTGAGTGTTCGAAGAATTTGAATAAAACAAAGTGAAAAAAAGGACGACGATAAAATATCAGACGAAAAAAAATATAAATACATTTACAATCAAAGTGTTGAACTTCAAGAAAGCAGATCATTTCCATGAAAATTTTGTTCGGCGATAATAGTATCAGGTTAAACCCGACATTCACGGACAAATACACAATCTAACGTTTTCAATTAGTAAAAGAAAGTTAATTTAACTTCTAACATTGAAATCCCAAAGCACACAAACAGACAACTGTTCGAGCTACAGAGTTAGTTTTGGAAACTCTCAAAGCCATTCAAATGGATACACATAACATGAATTGTGAAAAAAAGGAAAAACGGAAATTAAATTCGATTCGTATGTTGTTGAAATCATCAAGTGGAACAAAAATGAATGAATAAATACACGAAAATAATGTGTAGTCATGAAATTAAAAAAAAAACGGTATCCAAAATCGAAAATCAAATGTAGCATGTTACAAACTTTTCAAAGCCAGAAAGTACTGTGCTGACTTGAGCAAAATTTTATTCAGTTGCCAACGCAATGTTTGCAATCAAAAGCGAATGCTTTTCTATGAGAGTTTTTGACGGAAGACCTCAGCTGAGTGCAATGCCAGCAAGAAATTGAATGGAAGTGATTTTCTGTGCAAATAGACGACAAAATCAGAATAATAAAAGACCTTTATATTTCTTCGTAAGTTTTCTTTATGGTACAAATTCGTCGCCATATGACGACGCTAATTGAATTCGATTGGGTGGGATGTAGAAATTTCCAACGCAATGCATTGAACTAGTTTTTATATTTCATGACTGCGCATAAAAATTCAAATTCAACTTGTTGACATACTCTACACACTCACATACACAAACACACATAAATTGGGTAGATTTTTCAATTGCCCAATCAGGTACACACATACGTCTATTGTTCTGTTTTGTTTTTGGTTTTTTTTTTCAACTCTGATTTATATACTGAGTACATTTTCGGTTGATTGTTTTACCTGCTATATCCTTTTAAACCGACTAAAATCCTATCAAAATAATAGTCGTTTTATATTTTCGTTTTGTTGGTATTTTTTATGCATTTTCGAATATATTTGTCAATTTTGCTGCCCAGAACAAAAGACACACACAGTGAAGGACAATTAATTACATAGTCGTTTGGAAATTTCGTAAATGTATATATTTGTGAATGGAAAATTTGTTTCTTTAAATGAAAACTGAATAAAAATTCGAACCAAGAAAAATTAATCGAAATTGAATCCTCTCTTTTCCCTTCTCTGTGTGTATTGAAACAATCGCACGATATAGTATATTTCATTTGATGTTTAATTTTTCTACTTTTTTTTCTCTCTCTCTCTCTTTGTCTATCTCTCTCGTAATATTCATTCAATAATAAACAACTTAACATAACTTATGCTAATGGTATTGCAACAGTTTTTTTTATTCTCATTTTCTATTTCATGTACACGTTTCAATTTATAAAGCATTTTTCTGACGCGTTTCTGCTTGGTTGAATAAAATTTAATGAAGAAAAAAAAATGAACATGGAAATGCTTCAAATTATGATCAATTTTTTGTGTTCATGCACAAATAAATCAAATGAAAATATTGTGAAATAATTATCTAACAGAGATTTTATTATCCAATTTGGTCTGAACACGCGAAATACACAATATATATATAAATTTATATAGAGATATATCTAAAGTGTGTTAAAGGCACACCGATTAAAGTCTTTGCATAAATTTTCCTACGAAATGAAGCAAGCAGAAATGTTTTGAATAACAAAAAATATAACCCAAATCTAGTCACGTGCTGGTTAAGTTTCAAAAATAGAGTTGTTCTTGTCAGAAATTATCTCTGCCCCGTTTCTGTTTGTTTTTTTTTATGCATATAATAATATTATATCTTGTTGCTTAGCTGTCAATGTGTGTAGTTGCCATTTAAACGTTGAATAAATATGTTTTGATTGTTAAATATTGTTTATGTGAAGAAGAAAAAAAATCAATATTAATCATTTGTAAATTTTGCTCTTCATCTCTCTTCATTACAAAATGAAAAACCACTTGTGTGCGAAAAATTGTGAAAAAAATAAAAAAAAATTACGGATATGATATAGAATAATGCTGCAAACTCATCAGAGACATCGATGGCAACACAACCAGGTGGATCGGTAACATCGAGAGCTGCATCAGAAGCGCGAGCTGTTCCGGGCGGTAGCGGTACGTCTCATCATGATTCAGCTACCGTAACTGGTGCCAAATTTCGACATGGCCTTCTACAACTGATGATTCACACCATTGACCCAATGCATGATGGTAATTTTCTATTTACAATCTCAGTTTGTCTCAAGTGATTTGATGTTGAGGAATCAACACAAATCTCACATAGTATGCATATAAGCAACATTAAATCAAATTTATTGATTTTATTTTTATATTATTATTGTTGTTGATGCTGCAGGAAAAGTCGATGAAAAAGCAACGCAACTGCACGCTATTGCTTCCTTAAAAGTTTTACTTGATGCAACAAAACCACAACGTAAGTAATAAGATCTTTTAATGAAATGATGTACAAATCTTTTAATGTCGTTCTATTGTGTTTTTTTTTTACTTTAGGAGGAGCCGCAACATCCACAGCTGCCAATAACGTTAGAACCAATTTTAAAGAAACGACTTTAGTTGGAGACCGACCAAATGGCAACATAGACACCACACTCGATTCGGTACGAACTGAAAACAATTTGTTTGTTTTTTTTTTTTTTTTGTCCAACAGTTTGTTTTTTTCCTACGATAATTTCTTGCTTTCTTTTTTCTCTTCCACTCTTGGTTGCATTTATGTTCTGCTCTCTCCGTGTTGATTTTCTATGGAACGGTATAGCAGAGTAACGATTTAGACGAACCGAATGAACCGTTGGACATGGGATGGCCCAAAGGGGGGCGAAAACGGTTAAGCTACGTATTGGTTGCACCGATATTGGTGCCACTTTGGCTAACACTTCCAGATACACGAACGCCGCGTGGCAAACGATTTTTCGTTGTAACATTTCTCGGTTCGATTGCATGGATAGCCGCATATTCATATCTTATGGTGTGGTGGGCGAATGTGTTTGGTGAAACGGCTGATATACCACCTGAGGTAAATACACATGGACACACAGCATTTAATCATTCAATAAACATCTATCTACTCTCTATTTTACACTCTCTATTCGCTTTCACTTGCTCTGTCTCGCTTCAACTAGCATAATTTATCATTGTCTCTAATCAGTTCCATTTCCGATTTGTTTGTTCGTTTTTTCGCAATGTTTTTCATTGCAATTAGGTGATGGGTTTGACATTTTTAGCAGCTGGTACTTCAATTCCGGACTTAATAACGTCAGTGATCGTGGCCAGAAAAGGTTTCGGCGATATGGCTGTTTCCAGTTCGGTTGGTAGCAATATATTCGACGTCACGGTTGGGTAAGTTATCACCATCAATATTGATAATCAATTTGTTTTTTTTTTGTTCAAAGAAAAGCTGCTTTATTTCTTGCTTTGAGCGATTTATTTCCAACGAATGTTAAAAACTAAGTGAACAAATGACTTCAACACTAACTATGAAGCACAGACATTTCTCAAATACAATGTTTTATTACGAAAATCGTTTGACGCGTGTTTGTAAATGAATCTTTTGGCAGTAGATTCTGTAACTGATGATTAAAAACACTTTGTCACAATTTATTTTCAATTATTTCTTAATATAAACACTTTTCCCTAACAATATAATAAATTCAAAAGGTAAACAAACATTGAAACTTTTGGACTTTTAAATCTAGTTTTCGGATTTAAACAACGCGCATTCAAGAACATGCATTTGCGCTCAGGATATGCGATCGTCCTATCGAAAATTCGAATGATAATAGCATAAATAGCATTGTTTGTTGATTGTCGCATGCAGTTTGCACACAACACCAAATTGCATTTGAATATATCTATATACATGTTTAACTTATGATCTTCTTCGTCTTTTCCATATTCCTAACTTACAGTTTACCGATACCATGGCTGCTATATGGTATATTTTTCCAAGCACCGGTTGAAGTCAATTCATGCGGAATGGTATGCTCGATTGCCATTCTATTCATGATGCTGCTATTTGTCATCGCATCAATAGCTTGTTTCCAATGGCGTATGAACAAAGGACTGGGAGTGACAATGTTTTTGCTCTATTTCGTATTCGTTGCCATTTCATTAATGTTCGAATACAAACACTTGACGTGTCCATTTTGAAGCGACGATGACATTAAATCAAAAGATAATATTCCACATTTCAAACAACAGAAAATCAACACAACCAAAAACACACCACACAAAACACGAAACCAAATAAACATCAATCGCATTTTCGAACTGACAGAGAGAGAGAGATATATACACACACAATATATACGAAAATCGTGAATAATAATGTAATATTGGAAGATAACACAAAATGAAATATATAAGTGCATAATAACACAGTGTTACTGAAATTGGAGACGTGTGCCGGGAAAAATAAAATTTACTTAGATCGCTAACATAGATGACAACAACAAAATAAAAAAGTTCAAAAATTTTATGCATTTTATCGGTAGAGCGAAAATATCAGGTCCTTTTTATCTGCATAATACGATTTTTAAATGCTTTTAAAACATATTTGAAACAGAAATCAATTGAGCTCGACGAAATCTAAGGAATGAATCAACAGAATAAAAAAAGACAAACAAAATGCGCAAACGCTATTTATTATTGGACTTTACAATTCCAAAAATGAACTGTTCCAAGTTGGATGAAGAGAATACATAAATTGTAAATTCGCCACCGAGAGCAATACAAAATAATCTATAGAACTACAGTTCAGAATAAACAATTGGCGCACAATTTCAGAAGAAAGTTGTTTTTTTCTTTTTTTTAAAAAATGAGAATTCTGATTTTAAAATGGAGAATATGCAACCAATAATAATATTAAAAGATAAATAGAAAATCACGTGTCGATACATTTATACAGCATTTATTTTAATTGAAAGTTTTGAATCCACACCATATACCCACATATACACACATACACCACGGATGAATGTATCCAGTTGTTACAAATTTCGTTAAATTCGCGCGTTTCAAGTTGATTCTCTCTCTTACTCTCTGACTCTCTCTATCTTTCCTTTTCCCTCTCCAATTCAAAATCTTCAATCAAAAATATAGGGCAAAAATAATAATCGATTGCTCAATTGGACTTGCAACTTATATTATTAAAGTGTACAATGTATTCAAGAAATTGTTCACATGTTTCATTTTTCCCGGGAATAAAATACTATTTTCAAAAAGTTTGTCTTTCTCTTCTGCTGTAAAACACTGAATGACATGATGATATAACAAAAAAAAAAAATGTTAAACCAGATTCCGCTGTCGAACTCAGTGTTGAAGAGAGCAACAACAAAAAATACAGCACACTTTCTGCACGTCACTCCTTCGAAAACTGAATTACAACAACAATTACAACTAAAAACGAATCGAAACAAACAAACAAAAAATGAATTCAATGGAAAAGCAATATTTGCTCAAATAATTTAATAATTACATTTATACAAAAAAAAAATATATAGGAAAATAGGATGATATAAAATCATAAACGGCCTTAGTAAATAAAAAAAAAACTCGAAAAAGACAAAAAAATAATAACAAAATAAGATTCAAAACAAACAACAACAATAACGAAAGAAAAAACCATCCCAAAAATATCGGAGTTGCTAAAATTCAAACACACACGCGTGTTTCTGCCCAAATTTTCTGGCTCAATTTAAGAGTGGTTGGTGGTACACAGATATAGACAGTGTTCCGTCTGTTGTGACAGAAAATCAGATCAATCGTATAGATAACATTTATTCCTCTCGAATATCCCTTTCTAACTTCTCAATAAACGTTCACGTCACGATTCAAATATAAACTGACGGAGAATTCACCTCTCCACACATACAATAATATAAATACATTTAAATTAATTTATTATATATGCTAATTCCTTACTGTAGTTGAAGTGTAAATCTTTCACTTTTAGACTAAAAACACACACACACACGAAAACCTTTTCATACCATTAACAAAAACACATGGAAATAACGCTTTAACTGAATAAAAACACAAACACACACTATATTACTCTTATTATGTAATCAATTATATGAAGTAGAGGCAAGTGATATTCTCGCTTCGAATGGCTAAAATTGCGTCTTCTGAATCACAAACAAAAAGAGACAAAATCATTCGAATATATATGTAATATTTATGAAACGAAATTTGAACAACTGCTACCAAAAGAAACCTATTTATACATATATATTGTACTATTGAATGAAAATATATATATATATATATATATCATATATATATCCTCCAAAAACTCCTTCTCTCTTTTAGAATGATACACAAACAAAAAAACTTTACATCAAGTATTATTACATCAAAATATTTTTTAAAATTCGGATGCACATATCGTTGAAATTAAAACTTACTATTCATATATACAACAACCTGAGGAAATTTAAAAAAAACCACACAACCTTTTACTTATAATACCTAAAATTGAACTAAACTAAACCAAAACTAGGACTTAACGATGAGAAATGATCAACCAACTCACACTATTATAGTTTTAACATTAACAAATTGAATCGGCGAACATTCACACTCTGAAAATGGATTGTTAACTTTTCTGGTCGCGAGTATCGATTTTTCAATGACATGCAACTTGCATTTATCTCGCATTTTTTTATTTAACAAATTGTTTGCACGACGCTTTCCGCAAAGTCAATCCATTTTACGGGAAATGCAAGTTCATGTGTCCAAGTTTCGTATATTTGTCACACCGTTTTCTGAGGCCAACCATCCCTCCCCCAATCACTTTTACACGGTCTCTCGCTATTGTTTATGTCTAGAGCATATGTGAACTTCATGCAATTAATAATCGATTGGCCTCATTTTTTTTTGAAGCGCAAATATTCCTGAGTGCATTGACACCCTGAATTCCGCTCTTTTGTGTTTAATTTAACTTCATTCTCATGATACATTTTGTGTAAAAACAATGACAAATGAGATTAGTTAGAGACCTGTTGTTGAAAATGAATTATTTATGTAACACCAGCATCTATTTTCAATGCGACGAAATCAGTGAGAGAGCCATATTTCATTTTCAGTTAATGAATAACATGTAATAAAATCATCGACACAACATAAATAACAATGTTATTGTTATATTTTGATAAAAAAAAACAGACAGTAAATCTATTATCGGCAGTAAAACTCAGCATTTAAAGAAAAAAAACCAAAATAGAATGAAACAAACTAAAGAAACAATTCACAAATAGGGAATAAGTTTAATCAAATCGTCTCGTCGACGTGATGAACACAAAAAAAAAATAGAAAACAAATCACATCATTTGATGATGTGCATTTGAATCATAATACGCTTCTTATAATTAATCGAAATATAAACAAAACAAATGAAACAAATAAAAGTGGAATACAGTGAACTAGACAATTGTTAAGTAAAATTTGAAAAAAATGACGACGAATGAAATTAAATGCATAAGTAAGCGTTAAATGAGTACTTTCAAAAGAAAGCACTCACCATTTTACTAAATGCATAATGAAAATGTAGCAAATTGAAAAATAAGATATTGTTCCAAGTGAAGATAAGGATGAACGTAGCCTAGATTGAAAACTTGTAGTGTTTTTAAAATCGATGATGTTTGAAGGACTTTTATTGTAGCATTTGGTGAACGTGGTGTAGTCAACGTCACTCAATTAGAATTAACTATGCCATTTTTGTTCAATCATTTTTTTTTTCATTTGTGAATATTGTTTCAGTTTTAAATTGCCATTCGAATGATATCGATTCAATTTTATTCATTTAACAAAGAACGAATAACAACTTAACAAACAACGGTACAATAAAAAAGATACACAATTTGCCGAAAAACATAATAATTAAAACAAACAAAAAATAAACAAAATAAAAAAATATGGAAGGTTTCAAATCATACTTATACACACACCAATGAGTAGCATTAGCACAACAAATGCATCCGACATCGTTTTTATATTTACAACAATTTCACATCTTGTAAACCATACTGTCAATGTTGAACGAATCGGACCACATACACATACACTCAATGAAACGATAAAACTTAACATATTTACGAAGTTCGTTGGCAAATGATTACACCAGTCCAAAGAAGAAAAATGCGTGATCAGACCTACCTGTATGATAGACTCGGTTTTTGCATGCAAGCGCATCCAATAGGACAATTTTGTAACAATTCAACCTTAATCTACTCTTAAAATGTCAAAATAGTTCAACTAAGTTCGTTTGTGTGCTGTTTTCCGCTTTGCAAACACTTTTCAAGCATGGTTTTGTACAATTAGCAGCTATATGTGATACACTGAATGACTTCACTTGTGTACATATTCGCTCGGAAATTGTGTAATTCCAAGAGATTATGTTATTTCAAAAATTCGTTAAGATCAGGCATTGGTCCTCTAAGGAGGATGAATGGCGAGAAGGGAAATGAAGAGGAGGAAAGCGCTGAGCTTCTCAAGTGAGGTGAACATTTTTCTAACCAAAAAAGATATTTTCTTGATAAAAATAGTTTTTTGACCAAAAAAAAAACTTTTCCTCCTCAGCGTTCTCTTCCTCCTCCTGATTTTCCTCCTCCCCATTTCTCCTTCTCAGCGGAACAATCCATGGTTGGGATTTTGGGATTTTGCAATTCATCCAGCACGAAAAGTTTGCATCACACACTCGGTTATTTTTGAGAGTAAATTAACTACATGTCATTCAAATGATTTTACTTTCCCTTTGATCAATCTTTATTTTGGTTGTTTTTCCTTTTCAAACTTTCAGTCTATTTTTTTTTTGTTTTACAATTCGAACGCCTTCCATATCCTTGTATATATTTACACAAAAAAATAATTACAGTCTTAGTAATAGTTTCTTGTTGTTTATTCCTTTTATCATCTAACATAAAAAAGGTATTTATTAATTGTATATTTTTACAGACAAAATAAAAATGAGAAAAAAAATATAGTGAATCTTTGAACTTGTAGAGAAAAGTTTAAAAAGAAAAACAATAAAAGTCAAGAAAAGTCTTGATCGGTCCTCAGTTTTGTGTGCGTAAATTTCGTTGGAGAAATGAATTATTCACAGCTTTTTGCGAATTGAAATCGTTCTGAGCCATAAATAATATGAAAATCGTTGAGAGAACGTTAAGAGAACGTTAGAAAAACCAAATCCTACGGGATAAAAATTCTATAAAGCAGTTATGAATATATTGTAGAAACTAGAAAACGATAAGATGTTTCATGTTATGTAATTGAATCAAATTTAACAAAGAGAAAAAAAAAACAAAAAAAAAATGAAAAGAAGCACGCACGTTCGATGAAACGAAAAACCACATTAAGAACACACATACACACACACATACAATTAAATAATTAAGAAAATGCGTTCGAATGAGAGCCAGTTGAAATAAAAATGTTTTCTCTAATAATCTAGTGTTATATAATTATGTGAGATAAGAAACGTCCCAAATGAAGCGCTTTTAAATGAAATTACAACAGCAAAAAAACACACAAAATTGAATTAAATAATAATTATACTGAAGCGAAAAAACAAAAAGTAAACCGCAACAGCAACCAACACGTAAGAATAAACAACAATGATGAAAATGTTACATGTTTAGCTATTAAGTAGCTTAGGTATAAAAATACAAGTACTGCACAACAATTCGTAATAGTGGAAGCATTAGCACTTCGTAAAGTATCATTATTTTTCTGTCATCGAATTTTTTTCTCTGAAAAATTCCATTTGATCAAATCTGTGAAAAATAAAATCTGATTTTTTTATCGAAACATTATTCGATGATTCTGAAACAACGACAACGTTTTCGAATAACACTAGACTTATATCGCGATCTAAACAGTATTTATTTGTGCGAAGAGTTCAAAATAAGCAGAAGAAAAGTTAATAAGAAAAATACCAAGATAGTAAAACGTAACATTCAAAATGGAAAACATTCTCATCACTGCCGTTTTTACGAAACAAAAAAAAAAAAAAAAACAACAACAAAGAAACATCTCTAAATCCAGATTCGCATTTTCAGCATATATATATTAATGCAAAATGTATACAAACCAGAAAACTCAATATAAAACATTTAGATTAGTGAAAGAAGAAAATAGCAGCATCAAAATACACACTCCGTTTGAATTTAGAATCTATTTAATCAACTACTTTCAAATATATACACACATATGTATGATCATCGAATTGTATTTCATTCCAAAGTTAATCAAAGCTTTATTGAGATATCCGTTTCGCACATAAAGATCACAACCACACACACACACACACAACGTTTTACTCAAACAAAACATGGCAGACTTTTCTATCGAATAATTCGAAGATGAAAAACAACGGATAACAAACAGTTAACAACAAATGAAAATAATTAGCTTAACTCTTCGCATACATCATTCTTAATTCAATGAAAGAAGCAAGTTTGGGTTTTTTATTCGATTTTCTTCGGGTTTTTTTTTCCACTCAATATACAAACAATCTCTTTAAAATTTTATCAAAACTAACAGTCCAAAATAAAAAGTTTAAGAAGATAACTTAACAATTCACACGCGTGAAATCTCTGCCAATACAACAAACAAAATTAAAATATTTCAATTCACAGGTGGTACAAATCTATTTTATTTAGTAACATTATTACTGTACAATATTTTTTTATTTTCTCTCTTTATCTCTCTCTCTCTCTCAAATTTTGATGAGATGTACTTATGTATAAAACAATGAACAACACTATCGTCTAGCGAATATTTTAACGAATCTTCCATTTCGATTTTCAAAACTGAATTTTTTCCATTATTTTATAAAATTCCTTCTGACAATTGAGTTTCGCTTAATTTTCGGTTCGAGAAAAACAAAAGTGTGATATCTCTATTTTTCCAACGAATACGAATATATTACGATTTCTTGGAACTTTTATTTTTTACGATTCTAAAACTTTCGCAAAATCAAATCGTTCAACAATATTTATATTAGAAATAATAGAGAAACTGATTTTTTATTTCGCTTCTCTGTCATTGTGTTATTCATTTAAATATATCGAATATATGTATTAGCAAACAACGCTCATCAATCTCCAACGAAAGAAAAAATTGAAGATAATTCCTTTGTTAGAAGGTTTTTTATATATGCATATCACAATGTTAATCAGTATTTTGTTTTTCCGTAAACACACCCTTTGCAAAACAAAAATCAGGAACACACAGATATGTTTTCACAATTTTAATTTTGCCTTTTATTGATATAAAACACACTCACCAAAATTTAAAAACAAAAAAAAAATGATGAATTTTTGAAATAATGTTTGTTACGACCAAATCTGTAGATAAAATTTTTAAGGAATATACAATTTTGAAGTTTAAACGTTAATCGAATTGTAAATGACACTTAATTTTCCTTCTTTTTTGTAGAAATCGATAGATAATGTTATATTAGCTTTATTCTTCTCTAAACAAAATAAAAGCTCACTCACTTACTTGAGCACTATTTGTTTTTAAATATGTTCATCATTCGTGCATTTTTCGACTATTTAAGTCTTATAATTTCAATGTGTTATGCACATCAACGAAAAAAAAAATTTCAATAAAAAAAAACATGCACATTTCATTTTCTTCAAACTTATTTCCGAACTGATTATGTGTTCGGAATGAATAATCAACTTTTTAAACCATGAACATAAATAACGTTAATCTCGTGATAATTAATGAAAGTAATGAACGAAAGTGAAAGTTATATAGAGGCCTGTACGGTTAAAATATCAGCGGGACACCCCAAAAAATTATTTTCCCACTTGGGTCGTTGGATGACAATGATATAATTATTGTATTCATATATTAAAAAAAACACACACACATACATAGTTTTTATCGTAATACTTATGAGGTTTATAATGCACCTAAAATCATTTCATGAACAAAGCTTTTAAAAAAAGAAGAAACCTATTCATTTTAGTTAGAATATGCACACATTTAGATCTTATATCTATCGTACTTATAGCTGTAATGTTAATTAAAAACAATGAAACATTTAACACAAATTGAACAAAAACTAAACCAAAACAAAAAAAAAACTACTACGAATTCTATATTGTTGAACGCTCTTTTAACATTTAAGCCTATTAGTTTGATTTGATTCATTTTCCTCCTCCTTCTCCTCGCCCCCCAGACATATAATGTATCCCTATTCTAAGGACTGTTTCGTTGTATGAATATGAATGAACAAACAAATTGTATTATTGTAATTAATATTAATATCAATTACTGTGATCGGAATCAAACAAAAAAATGAAACACTTTTTGTTGTGTACAATTTAATTAACATTTATATTTTGTGATATACATTACTAGACGATATACGGCCATTCGATATAGGTGTGCGCACGCAGTTTGTCGAAGCAGAAAGAAAACACGTTTATGAATGAAATATCTCGAATTGGACTTATACCGGTCACTGATTTTCGACACTGACTTCTTTTGTGCTTTTCCTATAATTTCTCAATTTATAGGCAAAAAAAAAAACGAAATCGCAAAATTAGATCAGCATGTACGATATAAATCGTGAGGTACGCGAGCCTTTTTCAACACAAATTCTATTCAGTATGGTAAAAACGTTCCAATTCGGTAATTTCAAAAACAAATTATTTGGTATTGCTAATGATTGTCACGAAAGTGCTTGTTCCAGGTTAAATAATGACCAACCAAATATGGATTAGAAAACAGTAGCCAATAGTAGTTTAAACGAACAAAATGTGAACGTTGATTAGAATGATTAAGAAATGATCGTGGAAATAACAATACTCAGACTTCCAAATGGTTCAAAGAAAAATATCTGTGACACAATACTGCAACGAATGCCACGTATGCCGTCAAGCTAGTTTCTTGGGTTTTTTTTTCAATTTATAGAAGAAGTATCGGTTCGGTCGATTGAAAAAGGAAAACATATCGATGATTGAACAGCTTCTTACAACGTCATATATCCGATGTAAATATGACGGTCCAATGCGCTTTTTTTTATTCCTTTGTATGGTTTTGCCTAAACTTTCTGCAATATTTCTATAAAAATCCAAAGAGATTATTTTCGTTATTGGCATATAAGAGTCTTTTACAATTAATTTAACCTTTAAACAAATTGTTGAGAAAATGTGCAATTAAAGGTATTAAAAAAATGATAGATTTCCATCTAAACTAGAGAATATGCAAGAAATTAGCTAAAAATTCATATCATTTAATTGTTAGGCTACACAGGTACTTGACAAATTTTAAACTAATTTTTTTTTGTTAGCTACGTTGTTTCTCTATTACAAAACAACAACAAAAACAAGCCAATAGAAGAAAAACACAATTTCTCTCTGTCTTCGTTGAATTTTATTCATTTTAAATAATGAATAGGGCATTTTGATAGACAAAGTCAGCCGACTTTTCTGTTTCTTCAACAGATTTTCATTTATAGAATGAATAGTATTAAACTTACAATTTATTCGCGCATATGTATGTATCCATCGAACGATTCATGAGCTATACAAATATAAAGAATGTGCATATTGATTTTGTTTAGGCGCATTTGTTGTTTGAATCTCGTCCCGCATACGTTTTAAGTTAGTTGCAAAAAAAATTATACATATATATATACTAATTTATATTACAAACCAAACAGATGATGCAAAATGCAATTTTATTAGGCGTTATTCATATATGAATTAAAATGAAAGTTTTATGTATTTAAACAAAAAAAAATAACAAATGTAGATAAATTGCATTACCACAAACACAGAGAAGAAAAAAAAAACTTGACAAAAACGATATAAATCATTTTTGTAATCCCTGACATCTAATTTTTAAACTGTTTTATTTAGAACATAGAATTTTGTTGAATTTTACAGAATATGTATACAACATTATATAAACAATAACAAAAACAACATTCAAACTATACAGTCGAATAATTTATACGAAAACCACAACAAGAAACAAAAAATAATAATAATTAACAACTCCTCTTCAAACTACACATAACCCATATATGCATAAATCTATATATATTTACTTTGTGTAAAACAGTTATTGATTTGATTGCATATTTATGGCTTTCTCTCTATCAATTCTTCTCTACCAATGCGAAAAAAAGCCGTTTGTTTATGTTTCCACTCCAATTCAACTCCTTCAACTTCTTTATGCAAAATCAAATCACACGTAACACGTACTGATATTTTTAGATATATTAGAATCGAATTTCATCAATTTTATTTTTATTTTTCTTTCATTTTCGTCTTCTTCTGAGAAAAAAAAACCACCCTCTCTTCTCACATGTTTTGATGTTACCAATATTAAATCTAGAAATATATTACAAAAAATGTATAAAAAAAATAATTATTATAATATGCAATAAATTGAGTACCATGCCAGAATGAAGATGGATGTAAAGATGAAATGCTAAACAAAAATGATACATCATTACACAATAAAACAGAAAAAAACACAATTCTCGAAATTTTACGAAACAAAAACACGAAATCGAAGAAGAGGATGTGAAGAAAAACAAATGAACGAATGATGCCATTAGATCGGCAATAGCGTTAAAATCACACGCAATTAAAAACGTTACGAATTAAAATTAATATTTCAGACTATAATAAATTCTATATTATTGATACACTCACATAAACAAAGAAAATGAAAAACCACTCAAAATGATTATGGAACCGAAAGATGATTTTAAGAATAGCGACAAAAATGAATGAGATGGAAATCAGTGCGAACTATAACTATTTAAAATGAAATATATATCACGATAATGATATTAGCAAATGAAATCTATATGTTTAAGACAAAACAAAAAAAAAATGTTTATTTGAAATGAAAATATTAAGCAGACAATATAAGAAATGAAATGAAAAGCAAATCTGGGTTTTACTTTTTTCCGCTCCTTTTTCAGCGCAGAAGTTGTGCATTGTGCATTGAATGTGTGTAATCTAGGTAAGTAGTAATAAACTTCACTTCAATGTATTTTTAAAGACATTCTTACGGAACCAGTCTGACGTACTATGAATTATCTATATGGACACGGCTGGTAAGTAATCTAACGAGATAAACTTGAAGAAAAAACTGCTCTTCACTTCCAAAAATTCATTCAATTTCCCTGTAGCACAGGACCTGTGCCCATGTATGCTGTGAATAATAATCAATGAATATGTTCGCAACAAGTTGTTGTTGCCAACAAACATATAAGTTCTATGTGTGCTATAAATACTTTCGTCCAAACACATTCAAATTTTAATTTTATAAATATATCCATTTCGTGTGGCGATTTATTTCTGGTTTAATATGCTACAAAGTACACGAGAATCGTATTTTATGCGTTAGTCTTCTTAGAAGAGTACATCGACAAAAAACGTCCTCGCTCAAATTCCACGTTGAAAAAAAAAATTAGTTCGGAAGAAAAGTACATTTCAATTTTATTGCACTGAACGAAAGTAAAATGAAAATGCGGTGTGAATTTAATTCGATAGGTTAGTGTTTCTGTTTCTCATCACATAAAATCTAAAACCAGTTATAGTGCGTTTTTTAGTGTTTTGTGACAATGTTTGTACGGTTATGTCGTCAAACAAATTCACGATTCTGTAACTAAGTAACAAATTACGTAACGCATCAAATGTATCTCTTTATTATTTATAGAAAACAACGATACTTTGGAATTTCCATATCTTCCAAAGGATCCGTTTTCATTGGAGCAGCGTCGATATGGATTTATCATTTTACACATAATTGGAGTGTTTTATATATTTTTCGCGATAGCTGTTGTTTGTTATGACTTTTTTATACCGACATTAGAAGCAACAATTAAAAAGTTTCGAATAAACTATTATGTGGTTGGCACTATATTTATGGCCATTGACATGGGTATAACACAACTTCTAACATCTGTGATTGATGTAATCGTTTTGTTCGATGTGAGCATCGGTGCGGTTCTAAGTTCGGGAATATTTCGAATATTGTTTTCAATTGGATTGTGTGCGATTTTTTCGCGAACATTTTTATCGCTCGCATGGGGGTCATTGTTTCGCGAATGTACATTTTACAGTGTCAGCTTAGTGGTATTGATGTATTTCATTCATGATAATTTGATACATTGGTGGGAGGCATTCATATTAATTCTAATCTATGGCGTTTACCTCATATTTGTGACACTAGATATTATTATAGAAACGGTAAGTAAAATAAAACAGTTTTATATTCATTGAATATTATTCAAAGCGACATTAAAATACCATATAAAACTATTTGTCTGGCGAAGTTCAGTCATTAAAATCCAAATTATTTCAGATATTTCAAGTATGTGCACTCGCTTTTTCGTTTATATGTAATAGATACCTACAACATTGACAAATGCAAGATACACATTTGTCAATGATAATAATCAAATAAATGTCCAGCCACCGACTCCAATGGACGCTCATCCTCTCACCACAAACAAATCGGTAAGTTGAATTTTTCAAATAGTTGTCGTTAATCTATTTTATTTAAAAATAAATGTTATGTCATTCTCAAGTTGAAAAATATTATAGCAAACAGAAGCAAAGCATTGCAGATTGTGATTGCAGTGATTTTAACGCCAATGGAGTCAACACTTCCCAATATACGGAAATTGCATCAAAGTGGCTTGATTATTTGGTGGGCATTTCTTGGTTCAATTATGTGGTTGAGTGTGCTTGCATACCTTCTCATATGGTTTGTGTTCGTCATCAGTGACACATTTAATATATCGGCTGAGGTATACAAATAACTAAACCCTTTCGAAATTATCCAAAACTGAATTCTTTCTCTCTTCATATTGTTTGAATAAGGTGATGCGTTTGACAATTATAGCTACGGCTACCTCTATCCCAAACATAATGTCATCTGTAATCGTAGCTCGGAAAGGTTACGACGACATGGCTGTAGCAAGTTCAGTTGGAAGCAGCATATTTGGCATTACTTTTTGGTCAGTCCATTGAATATGATTTTCAAAATTGTTCTAATTAAAGTTTTGTTTTAATTTACATAGTTTGCCGGCGCCTTTGATGATTTATAGCATTTACTACAAAATACCTGTTAAAGTGAATTCATGTGGATTACCATGTTTAGTTGCTGTTACATTTATCATCCTGATGTGTATTATTTTATTATTAGTGGTTTTTCGGTGGCGTGTCAACAAAAGACTGGGTGTCATCATGTTTTTTCTATACTTTTTATTCATCGTGATATCAGTTATACTTGATTATGGATACGTTGTGTGTCCGATTTAAGACAGTGATTTTTTATTTAAAAACCGGTTAAAATATCGTGAATAATTTTTTTTAGAAAGTGTAAAGTTTTTCAAAGAACCGTAACAAATCCATCGGAAAATTGGATAGGTAGTCAATTTCCGGTCGATGTCAATTTTCGAAAAATCGTATATACTACTAAAATGTACTAATTATGTACAATTATGTACAACAATTTTTATGATTATGTACCAACAAAAATTTTTCAGAATTTGGATTTTTAAAAATTGAAAATATCAAAACCCGGAAAATGTTTACCCGAATTTGTACAACACCAAAGTTATACGTCGTTAAAATGTACAAAATATGTACAATTCAAATCACCCATCAGATTTGAAAAATTTTCATCGGGTCACTATCTGGAGCCAAAAGTTCAAAAATCAAAAAAGTTCGATTTACGGATTTTTTTTTTTTAATTTCGTACACCTCCAGTGTATACGTCGTTAAAATGTACAAAATATGTACAATTCAAATCAACCATCAGATTTGAGAAATTATCATCGTGTACCCAAATTTCACCCAGTCCAATTTTTATAGCAGTTTTTGAATTCGCCGCGAATGGGCAACTTTTTAATCATCCATATTATCATAACAACGTATATTGTATAAAAATGTACAAAATATGTACAATTCAAATCTGTATTTAGATTTGCAAAATTTCAATCGAGTACTCAAATTTTACCCAGTCCAATTTTTAAAGCAGTTTTTGAATTCGCCGATAATGGCCAACTTTTTAATTATCCATATTATTATAACGAAGTATATTGTAGAAAAATGTACAAAATATGTACAATTCAAATCTGTATTTAGATTTGCAAAATTCCAATCGAGTACTCAAATTTCACCTAGTCTAATTTTTATAGCAGTTTTTGAATTCGCCGCGAATGGCCAACTTTGTAATTATTCATATTATTATAACAAAGTATATTGTAGAAAAATGTACAAAATATGTACAATTCAAATCTGATTTTGTACAATCGATATTGATTATGTACAAGTCAAATCTGATTTTGTACAATCGATATTGATTATGTACAAGTCAAA